TGTAAGTACCATCCTTGGTGCTGATTATAAAAAAATAGTAAATCACCAAACTTCAGCCTTAAAGACATTGCCAGAGATGTAATTTTCTCTACTTGTAAAGTGACCTCAAGGTCTGTGCTGATTTCTGGTAGAGAAGTGAGCCAATTACATGAGAAGAAAGAAAAGGATTATGGGAAATCCTGTCTATAAAACTCACGCTGTGCCCATGGCTGCAAGGAAAATCATTTTTTTGGCTGTTATAGAAAATCATGTTTGACTGCAGTCTGAAATGAGATGCTAATTTTAATATAATTAAATTCCAAGTAGATTGTGTAGCAATTATACATGTTATTTATCAGATGTAGGCACACAGTGCAATATTAGCACTTTTCAGATTGTTGAAACCTGACTACTTAACATGCTCTAATTTTATGTTTCATACTTAATTTCACATAAAACTAGAAATTACAATGAAATTATTATTTCCTTCACACCTCTTAACAGATCAAATTTGTGTTGGTGAACCCAGATTCACCTTTTGTTCAGTCATTGAGTAAACCAAAAGGGATGTAACATATTCTGCTATTTATCCCTCTAGAACAGCCTTTCTCAATCGGGTATTCAAGGAATACTAGTGCTTCTACAGAGCAGTCTTTCTCAACCTTTTTATCCTAAATGAACCCTTAAAATAATTTTCAGGTATGGGAAACCCCTGCTAAAACCAGTTCATTGGGGGTCACTAGGAAAAATGCCCCTTATATTGTTTGCCAGTAGAAAGTATTCTCCCCTTAGAGTGGTGGTCACCTTTACAGACTATGAAATGATCATTGGTGTCCTGCAGCTGGCTCTGCCAAGTGGCGTTGGACCTGGAACTATGCAGGCACCATCAAATGGGTAATCTATCAGCCACTGCTCAAGGAAACTTTAGTAACCTCTGGAGGAACCCTAGGGTTCCAGGTATCTCTGGTTGAGAATGCCTGATCTGGAGATTATTAGAAGTTCTTTGAACACTAGGCAGTTGTGAATTGACTTCTTGCCTGATGGTGCCTGCATAGTTATGCGTCCCCCATCACTGGGAAGAGCCAGTGGCATAAAACCAATAGATTCTCTGCTTTTGTATTTCAGATAAGTAACAGCTGAAATAAATTATCAATTCAGCTGTCTGTAAGACTAAGTTTACACTTCCTGTTGAGGGGGTTTATAAACAGGCAGTTGAGCCCCTTTAATCTGCAAAAGTAGCTGGATGAGGTTGTATACTTACTGCAGGTGCAATACTTGTGTAACCAGAATTGCTGTTACTGGGCTATGCAGAATCTGAAATGCATTATTGTTAAATTGTCTGAATGTAGTTCATTTTTTTCATTACAAGATGGAGCTTCTATGGACCTTGAGCTACTGATTTTCAAACACAGAACACTGAATGCTGGGACATGTAGTCTGGGTCATGAGCGATGCCATTACCATTTCTGACAAAAAAACAACAATATCTAGTGTGCTTGGAGGCAGGAGGACCCCAGAGGAGGGGTGTATAAATAGAAAAGCCAGAGAAAGAGCAGGGGCAGTTGGGAGATCGCCGACAGCCAGTGTAGAAGGGAAGGACTTGCTAGAGAGAGATAAAACATAGGAGGCATTAGTGACTGTATGCTGTGTCACCAGTGCCCCTGCATGTCCCAAACAGCCACTCACTGGCTGCAGATCTCTGAATGGAAGTCGAGGAAGAGTGTGCACAATTGTCTCAGAGGCCTGTCGTCTTTGCCACTGGGGAGTCAGACAACGCCACCCTGACCAGCTGCCTGATACTGCTGCTGCACAGGACTGCTCCAGAGATGCTGAAAGACCGTAGTTGTATCACCGGTTTTGCCATTCATCAAACCACCCAAAGAGGCGGGTTAGAATAATCGCCACACCAAAGGGGATCCCCTCCAATGGCAATATCTGCTGAACAGAATAAGTAAAGCTGGTGAATGGGTCATATATTCATTGTTGATTCATTTGTTGTCTTTGTGTATATCCTTTGGGAAGAGTTTATATCATTTGCTGGTTTGGTCTCAGATTAGTACATTGAATATTTCAAATGACTCCTCAGTATATTGTTTATGCTGCTAAATGTTTCACTGTTATACTCTATTTCATCTGATAAATACTTGACAATATATTTTGTTATTTGCAACAAGGTCTCCAGTCTAATTTCAGGGTGACTCTAAGGTACTGAAAGGGCAGTACCACCTTTCCTATGCAACTCATTCAATCGGATGGGACCACACAGTAAATGCCCTGCAATTGCATCCAATGCACACAGTTGCGACATTATGGTGCAAACTTTTGGGGTTAAAACAGGCAGTGAGGAGGTGACATAAAGTTTCCCTTCCACCTGTTAAATGCTCTCTGGAATGCAATTTGCTACAGATTGCTCTTCAAAGCGCAACACTAACCAATGCTGAGCTTCTGGCCAGCTCAGTAGGTTGTTTTAAAAAAAGAATAGGTGCTTTCCTAGGTTCACAAAATACAACAGGATATTAACATGTTACATAGTTTGGCTGAAAAAAGACAAAAGTCCATCCAGTTCAACCATTACTGGTATTTATTCTGCTAGATGGACTTGTGTCTTTTTTCAACTTGACTAACTATATATCTATGTACATGAGCCCTAAGGGTGACACTTTAACCAAAGACCAGAAATGTAAGGGGGTATTCTTCCTCGTACAGGCCACCAATGCAAATAGGCCCACAAATGACCTACCTTGAGTGTCAAATACTGTTGGAATGTCATCTGATCTATTTTTTATTATATCTACAACATCTGAAGACACTACTGTTTTGTGAGCTATACATGTATTATATTTTATCAGGGGTTCCCTAAAGTGTGAAAATTATTTCAAGGGCTCTTCAGGGGTTAAATGGTTGAGAGAGGATGCTCTAGAATGCTCAGCTTGTACTTGTACTCTGAGTCCTGTTCACAAACAGGCAGGAAAATGTTCACTAATGTGGTTTCATTTACCTGGAGTGACAGGCATGATAAGCTGCACCCTACACATGTAACATTTTTGTTATATTTTAAAGTTGAAAATGAAACCCATAAGATGCCTATGAGGGGCACTGCCTACTTTTCCAGTATTGAGGTTTTAATCCAGGCACTTCCCAGTCCGCTTTGTAGCTAATCTGGTCATCTGAGAACCCCAATTTGTGACATAGGAGAAGAATTCCAAAACACACCTACTGGCAATGCAGGATCCTTGCTCCCACTCAGAAAGCCTCATGTAAAAAAGTCAGAAGTAAGAGTTCCCCTCCCCCAGCGACTAATTAGGTTAAAACCTGCGTACTGTGTTTGAATATGATTAATGATACACAAAGCAGGCAGAGGAAGTTATACAGCACAGGACTACTTATTTATGCAGCACTATACTGTATATATACAGTATATTGTACATTCACATCAGTCCCTAACCCTCGAGGAGATAAAAATCTAAGGTCCCTAACTCACATTCCTACATATATACTACACTGTGTGCAAAATTATTAGGCAAGTATTTTTACCAGATCATCATTTTTGTGCATATTGTCCAATTCCAGGCTGTATAAAGTTGAATGCTTTTTAGATTTAAGCATATCAGGTGATGTTTATTTGTGTAATGAGGGAGGGTGTGGCCTAAGGAGATCAACACCCTTTATCAAGGTGGGAATAATTATTAGGCAGCTCCTTTTCCTCTGGCAAAATGGGCCAAAAAAAATAGATTTAACTGACTCTGAAAAGTCTTTCAGAGGGATGCAGCACTTTTGAAATTGCAAAGAAATTTGGGCATGATCACAGAACCATCAAAGATTTTGTTGCAAATAGTCAACAGAGTTGCAAGAAACGTGTTGAGAAAAATATGCAAATTAACTGCCAAAGATTTAAGAAGAATCAAACATAGAGCTACCAAGAACCAATTATCCTCCAGTGCTGTCATATTCCAGAACTGCAACTTACCTGGAATGCCAAGAAGTACAAGATGTTCAGTGCTCAGAGACATGGCCAAGGTAAGGAAGGCTGAAACCCAACCACCACTGAACAAGACACATAAGTTGAAATGCCAAGACTGGGCCAATAAATATCTGAAGACAGATTTTTACAAGTTTTTATGGACTGATGATATGAGAGTGACTCTTGACAGACCAGATGGATGGGCTCGTGGCTTGATCAGTAACGAGCACAGAGCTCCACTTAGACTCAGACACCAGCAAGGTGGAGCTAGTTGGGCCTTTTCAGGTTAAAGATGGACTTGACTCCCAAACCTACTGCCAATTGTTAGTTTTTAGAAGACACTTTCTTCAAGCAGCGGTACAGGCAAAAGTCTGCATTTATTAAGACCATGATATTTATGCAGGACAATGCTCCATTGCATACATCAAAATGCTCCACTGCGTGGCAAGCCAGTAAAGGCCTTCAAGGTGGAAGAATAATGACATGGCACCCTTCCTCACTTGACCTAAACCTTATTGAGAACTTGTGGGCCCTTCTTAAATGGGAGATTTATGGTGAAGGAAAACAGTACACCTCTCTGAACAGTGTCTGGGAGGCTTTGGTTGTTAGTTAAGAGATCAAGAAGCTGACAGACTGCATGAATGGAAGGCTTATGACTGCTATTGAAAAGAAGGGTGGCTCTATTGGTCACTGATTTTTTTTTTTAATGTTTATTTGTAAATTTTGAGTTGTTTGTTTATTATTCTCACTTTAAAAATAAACAAGTGATATGGGAAAATTTTCATTTTTCATTTAGTTGCATAATAATTCTGCACACTAATAGTTGCCCAATAATTGTGCACACATAGATTATTTTATTATAGGTACTTATACAGTGCCTTCGCTTTACACAGCGCTTTACATATATATACACAGTATTGTACATTCATATTAATCCCTAACCCTCAAGCAGTGTACAATCTAAGGTCCCTAACTCACATTCATACATACACATACTAGGGCCAATTTAGACAGGATTAGTGATGGTTTGAACCAGGGGCGGACTGACAACTCATGGGCCCCCTGGGCAATAGGGAATCATGGGGCCCCTGTGTCCTTCCCCAAACTCAAAAAAGCCTATGAAAAAGGTACCAGGGGCATCTCATGGGGCCCCCTACTGACCTCGGGCCCTCGGGCAGTGCCCGAGTTTCCAAATGGTCAGTCCGCCCCTGGTTTGAACACCTCCCTCTTCAGTTCGCGGTAGAACATTTAAACCTAAAGAAAGTTCTACCACGAACATTGAACATAATGCAAGTCTATGGGACTCGAACTTTTAAATTGTGCCCATTTTGAAGGCTTATATGCAAGTTAATGGCCATGAAAGGGGTATGGGGACTCAGGTACAGCCCTGAGTGACATGAATAAGTGAAAAAAAAACATTTAAAAAGTACCGTTTTTAAAGGGGAAGTCATTTTTTCATTGCTTAACCTCCCTGGCGGTATTCCCGAGTGTAGCTCGGGGTAAGGTTTCAGTACCACAAGCGGTAACCCCAAGCTACACTCGGGCTTACCATGCGGCGCTGCTCCACGATCCCTGTATCACTTACCTTGTCCTGCGCTCCCACGATGTCCCTCCTGCAGTGTCCCCGACAATGTAATCCGGCGGATGCCGGCATCTGTCATCTGGGTTCCGTCCCCTGTGAGCGTTGGGACGTACGGGGGACGGAACGGCGGCAAATTCAAAAATGACAAAAAGTGACATTCACTAAAATCACTAAAATCACATAGTATTCCATTACTGTATCAAACCATTTCACATACATTTTGTCCCGAGTGCTTTGTCCTGTGTCCTGCCTGCATTTTTACTGTTCTTATTGCCTGGAAACTGAGAAATGTCCATGGTGTCCAAAAAGCGTCACTTTAGGTCAAAAGCGGTTTTAGACCAGCTAGAGAACAGCGATAGTAAATCAGAACCACTTGCAGAATTGAGTGATAATGATTTGTGGGGAAATTCGTCATCAAACAGTGAAAACGATTTTGCGACTTTGCTCAGTGATGTGCGAACTTGGCGCTCTATTTCAAATTTAAGTGTTTTTGGTTTGATTATATTATTACATTAAATTTATTATTATTATATTATTATTTTTATGATTATTTATTAAATTATAATTTATGATTTAGTGTTTCAAATTTTATCATACCCGGGATGTTTACTAGACTCTTGTTCTGACAGATTTCAGTGAGTTATTCCTAAAAATTACAGTCCTACAATAAAAAAAAAACATATTTCCATGCAAAATAATGGTACCGCTTTCAGCACCAAAAATCTGAAATAATCATACCGCCAGGGAGGTTAAAGGAAACAAAAATTGAAAAATTCCTTTAAATATCATGCCTAGGAGGTCCCCTTAAACTACCTGCAAAGTTGCACATCTGTACAATGTGTACAACCTGCTGCAACAGGACTGACATATTTTTAAAAATGACATTTTTATTTTTTAAAAAAAACAGCGTGGGGTCCCCTCTCTCAATCTATACCAGACCCTTTAGGTCTGGTAGGAAGGTTAGGAGGGACCCCACAGCAAAAATTTTTTGGTTTTTTTTCTAAAAAGTTTCGTGAGGTTCCCCCTAAAAGCCGTAGACCCTTTAGACCTGTTAGGACTTCTAAGGAGAAACCCACCTCCCAAACATGGGGGGAAAAAGAGCGTGGAGTTCCCCCTAAAAACCATACCAGGCCCTTTAGGCTTGGTAGAACTTTTAAGGGGAACCCCACCCCTAAAAAATTGGGGGAAAAGCGTGGAGTCCCCCCTAAATTCCTACCATACCCTTGATCCGATCACATGCCTGGCAGGCCAGAAAAGGGTAGGGGATGACCAAACGCCCCCCTCCCTGGGCCTTACCAGGCTACGTGCCATCGGCATGGGGATGGTGTCCTCATGCTGATGAGGACAAGGGCCTCTTCCCCCCACAACCCTGGCCCAGTGGTTATGGGGGTCTGCGGGCAGGGGGGCTTATTATCATCAGGATACCCCTTTAAATAAGGGGGCACCCTGATGCTGCCCCCCCTTGTAAATGAGTAAGGGGTACTTGTACCTCTACCCATTAACTAAAGGGTTAAATGTATGAAAAAATAAAGAGACTAGACTTTTGAAAAAATCCTTTATTAAACAAAAAACTATTTTTGACAAGTCATTTATTTAAAAAAAAAGCCCCCCAAAAATGGTTCCAGTGTTGTCACAATGACACCGATTCACCGAAAACCTGAAAACAAAATGATGACCGCATCCGCCGAGCACTCGCTACAATCTGACATTTGCTAATCAGATGTAAACAATTGGGTGAAGCTAATGATGATGTCACCACTAGCTCCGGCCAATTCTGTACGTCTGACCGGCAACTGTCATCACTTTCATTAACAATTGGGCGGGGCTAGCGGTGACGTCCTTGCTAGCTCCACCCAATTGCCATAAGCCATGATTGGCCAAAGTCACTGAGACTTTGGCCAACCATGGCTCGTATTGTGAACTCAGCTGTGATTGGCCAAACCATTCCACCTGTGGTCAGGTGCAATGCTTTGGCTAATTACAATGCGCTGCCAGACTGCAATGTATTGTGGGGCATGTGGGCGAACGGCCTGCTGAACGCCCCAAATGTTCGACTTGAACATATAGACAATCCCTAGGCTGGATCCACTTAACCAACCAGCATGTCTTTGGAGGGTGGGAGGAATCCCACACAGGCACAGGAATAACCTGTAAACTCCAGGCAGGTGGTGCTGTGGTTTTGATACAAACCAACAACCTTTGTACTGCCAGGCTGATATGCTAATCATTTAGCCACTGTGCTCCCCATATTCTCCTAAGAAAGCCAAACCCTTACTTTTACTTTCTTAAATATTCAGGTTTGAGGTTTATTAACATTTTGGATTGACCAATAGCACTGTAGTTGTTCAATAATAAAATGAATCCTCAAAAATACAACTTGCCTAATAATTGTGCACACAGTGTAGGGTCAGTTTAGACAGGAGTCAATTAACCTACCAGCATGTCTTTTTGGACTGTGGGAGGAACCCCAACGGGCACAGGGAGAACATGCAAACTCTAGGCAGGTAGTGCCATGATTGGAATTAGAACCAATGACCCTAGGGCTGCCAGGCAAACGTGTTAACCACTTAATCAGGATTCAGGAAATACACCCACAGGGGCTCTGTTAGGTGCTCTCTCGATTCTTACTGCTGGGATTTTTTTTTAAAAATATACTTTATGTGCTGCAATGGGTTTGTTAAATTTAAAGTAAAAAGCAGAATATTATTTGGATAGAGTAAGGGGTGATATAACCCCTGTCAGCCCTTTGTTGCCATCTGTGTCCCATCGGGGAGATTTTCACTTTCGGGGATAATAGTCAGCAGGACTAAATTGGGAGGAAGAATCTCCTTATCAGTGGAACAGACAGTAATACAACCTGGCAGGTGTCCTTATCCCTCTCCACTATATTCAAAGAAGAAGTTTTGCCTTCTGTTATACTTTAAGATAAGGTAAATTAAGTGAACTCCCAAATTTTTGCTACATTGCAGTGTTTTCTGAATTAGTATTAGATGCTTTCAAACTATGAAAGGATTGTACTTTACATCTGTGCTTTGAAGGTGTATCCTGTCTTTTTTCATTAATATACTATAACTCCATTCAGCCAAGCCAATTGGCCACAGAAGACTTATGAACAATGCTGGGCTTTAATTTACCCTGCAAAGCACCTGGTTTCTTAGCTGCAGCACTACGCATTTCTTCTTGTTTACATCCAGGTGTGACGTACACAGTGGGTCTGATTTATGTAAAGCTGCTCATACACTATACAATCTGCTTTGCCACAACTATGTCATATGAGGACAAACCCAAACAATCTATGCAATTAATATCAAATCAGTCAGGCTTTTGCACTAGCTAGTTGATGGTAGCTCTAAAGGAGATTGTACAATCAGATTGTATAATATATGGTCAGTCCAATGGTGGCCACACACATAACAATCTGATTGAACAACCCTTCACAGAATCACATAATATAATTGGATTTATGAATTATCGAGAAAATGCTTTTCAAGCAAAACTGAGCGATTTAATCAAAATGATTCTGTTTGGTTTGGGCAAAAAATTTTATTTAATTTAAAAATTTAATTGTGGAAAAGTAGATTGATCGATATGATCTTTAAAGTGGTTCTAAAGCCTTAAGGTTTTTTTTTACCTTACTGCATTCTTTGCACTAAGGTAAAAAACCTTCTGTGTCCAAGATCCCCCCAGCCCACCCTTATACTTACCTCAGCCAGATCATGATCCAGTGCTGTGCATGAGAGCAGCAAATCTGTCCAATCTTTACCTTCTCACAAGGCACATTAATAGCAGCAGGAGCCATTGGCTGCCTGCTGCTGTCAATCAAATCCTATGATGATAGAGTGAGGGCGAGGCCAAGACCCATTATCTGTGTCTATAGATACAGGCAGCGTGGCTTGGGATTGAGCTTGTTCGAGTGCCCCCATAAGAAGTGGCTTCCTATGGGGACGCTTGCCAAAGAGGAGGAGCCAGGTCCACAAGCGGGGGGACCCCAGGAGAAGAGGATCAGGGCTGGTTTGTGCAAAACCATTACACAGAGTAGGTGAGTATAACATGTCTAATTTTTTTTTTTTTTAATTAGGTTTAGAATCACTTAAAGTGTATGGTGTATCTAATGATCTTTTTGATCATAATTCTGATTGGACAGTATATCTATCGAAAATCTAATCACATATAAAACTGTTCTGTGTATGGCCATTATAAGAGTAATTGTAAGTGAATCAGGGATTTCTACAAACATCCAATCATGTGCAGAAGAGCTGCAAAAGAAATAGAACTTTGTATAGACTAAGCTCAGGTTCATTTTACTCAATGGCTGCATAACTCAATGACTTAATATCCTGACAGTGGTCACTGTGATAGTGTCGACTACTAAAGTGATTGTCAGCTACTGCAGTGGCCCCTCAGGTTTGAGATATATAATTACATTGTGCCAAGCTTGACCAATGTAACTAGGCTATGAAAATAATTCCAAGAGTTCAGCTATCATCTTCATGATTTTCAGTTTGCTGCATATTAAAAACTAGGACTGATTCACAAAAAATTGCTGAAAACATCAAGCCTATAACAGGTAGGAGTCATCATCTGAACCACCCATGAAATCTCCAGTGTTTCTGTACTTTTCCGAGATCATTACTTTTTAATAACTTATAGTAAATATAATAATAATATTAATAATAATAATAAAATGTGATATAATGACATGCTGACTTGACATAAAGACATGTTGGAAGAATGTCCAGCAGAATAGGTCCTTAAAGTGGAGTTCCAGCTGTTTTTGTGTTTAACAAAAGTCCCAGGGTCCAGCAATGTGCTCAACCACGCTGTCCCTTCTCTCCCGGGTGCTGGAATCACAACTGTGGGCACCAGGCTGTGACAGCTTGCGGCTTCACAGCCAGGTGCCCATTGAGCATGCGCGAGTCATGCTGCACATCCTAAACGGTTCAGCAGTCTTCTGCGACATGCGTAAGTTCCCAGAAGACTGCGGGAGGAAGGAGGGGGCAGCACGGCGAACTGAGCTGGAATGGGAGCGGGTACCTGTCAAAACCAGGTATTCGCTCACCCCAAAAAGGTGCCAAATATGGCAGTGGAGGGGGGGAGGAGGAGGCAAACAAGTGGGGCTTTCCACTTTAAAGGGGAACGTAAGCCCCCCCCTCCATTTTTCTCTTTTCCCCTCTTACCTGTACATTTGGGTTGTTCCCCAAAAGCATACTTACAAGTCT